ATTCTGATGACTGCCTGGGCTTGGAAGACGGAAAGGAGGGATAGTACCAGAGGAATAGCCTGAGACAACTCTCAGGGCTCTGTTCTGGATGACAAAAATGGAAGGAGGGGAATTGGCAAGATTCAAAAATGGAGAAACAATGGCAGGTTCAGAGGGAAGATGAGGAGCTTTAGACTCCTTTGAGTTTGAGAGTAGCACTCAGCAGAGATCAAGGCTCACAATACAGAACAGGGGTCATGAGCATACAAACAAGTTTGAAGCTGGGGGTGAGAAGAATACAGTAGAGGGCAGAGTCTTCGCAAAAACTGGCATGTGAGGGACAAAGGGGAGGAAAAGAGCCCACAGTGGAAATTGAGGGGTAAATGGTCTGAGAGATAATACAAAGTAGGACTGGGTTTTCCTAAGTGAGGGGCAAGGTCAGCAATGTCAGATGTGCCAAGAAAGACAAGGAAGAAAAAGCGGTCAGGTATCTGGCAATGTTGAGGTCCGATGACTTTGGGGAGTGGTGGGATGAGAGCAGGATTTCAGTGATGACTTAAGGAAGCAGAGGTAGCAACTCCAGATAACTCTTCCAAGAAAGCTGGATGGATAAAAGAGACGTGACAGGGTGCAGCACAGGTTAATTGAAGGGTTTTTGTTTTTTCCAAAGTGAGAGTAAACAGAGAATACTTAAATGGGAAGGGCTGATGAAATGGTAAAGAAAATGAACAAATGATGGAACCTGGTCCTTGAGGCAAAGGAGGAGATGGGATCCCAAGCACAAATAGAGGGCTTGTTCTTAAACACCATTTCTATCACCGAATTAGAATAAAAGGCAAAAGGATTAGGTCAGTTAAAGATCAGTTTGTAAAGGATAGAAGAGGAAGCTGAGAAGTCTTAACTGATGGCTGCAACTTAGTGGAGCAAAAGTCAAGGTAGGAGGTTGAGGAGAGGAATGAGTATGTGGAAGACATAAAGGGAAATGGACAAGAGAGCTGCCTGAGGATACGGGGAGGGCTGGGCCGTGCTGAGGACCTGTTTGCTGGCACACTAGTGTAATAGAGTCAAAAGCACGACATGTCTACAATGGAGCTGGCAGGGCCTTAGGTTACCAAAAGAAAAGTGCAGTCTTGCCCTGCATGGTTAGAGTCCTCAAGAAAAGAGGACTTCCTTTCAGTACCACACACTCAGAGAGGCTGACAAACCGGAGCAAGTTCAAGGATGGTAACTGGGATGAAGGTGAGAGGAAATCCAAAAGTGATTATTCTGAAGCTGGTCTGAGATGGAGTGAATAGGCTGTTCCTCAGTCTGCCAAAATTATGGAAATACATATTGATTACCAATTAACAGAGCAGCACCTCCAGTACTTATTCTCCCTTGATTATACAATCAGGCCTTAATCAAACTGGAGAAGGGTGGGGAGATCAAGAGATAGAAAGAGGAGAGAAAGACATTAGTGAATTTCAATCCAATGGGTAGAAATGGACACAGGCGGTAAACTGACTTCCAATAAAATCAAAAAGGAGGTCAGGGCTAATCAATCAGAGACACTAGTCACAGAATTTTGTTACTGCCCAACTCCACACAGCAAATTCATTTCTGCCCTCCTGCCACCAGAATCCTGATTCTTGTCCCCTTCCTCTCCGTTTCATCCAATCAGTTACCAAGTCCAGCAAATTCCACCTCCTTAACCTCTCAACTTCTTCCATCCCTCTCCATCTCCACTGTCACTGCCTTCATCCAGACCTTCATCTTGTCACCTGGATCACTGCAACTGTCCCCAACTGGTGCCCTGCTTGTCTTGTTCTGTCCAATGTAATCACCCCATTGCTGCCTGGGTAATTTAAAATGATGAGAGGATGTCACATCTGTTTTAAAATCTTCAGTGTCCTGACCAGGCATGGTGGCTCACGCCTATAATCCCAACACTTTGGGAGCCCAAAGTAGGCAGATCACAGGTCAAGAGATCAAAACCATCCTGGCCAACATGGTGAAACCCCATCTCGACTAGGGATATAAAAGTTAGCTGGGTGTGGTGGTGTGCGCCTGTTTTAGTCCCAGCTGCTTGGGAGGCTGAGGCAGGAGAATCGCTTGAACTCAGGAGGCCGAAGTTGCAGTGAGCTGAGATGGCACCACTGCACTCCAGCCAGGGAAAAGAGTGAGACTTGATCTCAAAAAAAAATCTTCAAATCTTCAGTGTCTGGCTCTCCACCCTCGTCCCGACACTTTAGAATCCAAACTTCTGGACCTGGCAATATTAATGACTACTGTTTATTGAGTGTTTATCATCTATCAGCGCCAAGTGAGTAACATATCACCTCATTCAGTTTTTATTTCTCCTTCTTACAGATGAGGAAACTGAAGCTTAGAAAGGAAGTGACTTGCCCAGGGTCACAAAACTAGTTCAGTGGCAATGCAAATATTGGTACGAAGCTATCTTGGATCCCAAAGACTATGTGTTTTGTTTTTTTTTGTTTTCTTTTTTTTTAAGACGGAGTTTCGCTCTTGTTACCCAGGCTGGAGTGCAATGGCGAGATCTCAGCTCACCGCAACCTCTGCCTCCTGGGTTCAGGCAATTCTCATGCCTCAGCCTCCCAAGTAGCTGGGATTACAGGCATGTGCCACCATGCCCAGCTAATTTTTTGCATTTTTAGTAGAGAGGGAGTTTCACCATGTTGACCAGGATGGTCTCGATCTCTTGACCTCGTGATCCACCCGCCTCGGCCTCCCAAAGTGCTGGGATTACAGGCTTGAGCCACTGTGCCCGGCCGACTATGTGCTCTTAACATGTTATCATTCACAAGGCTCTTCACAATGTGGCTACTGCTTACCTTTCCAGTCACCTCTCATCCTACACCTCCACACTGCCACTCTGGTGAACCACAAGCAGGCCATGCATTCTCACCTCTAGTCTAGCCCTTTGCTCATCCCACCTCACACACCTCTTCACCTATCAAATCCTGTTCATCCTTTAGGTCTTGGCTAAAGCAGCACCTCCTCACTGAAGCCTTCTCTGATGAGTTAGCCTGACTTATGAGCACCCTAAGTCCTCCTCTACCAAACCTCTGCAATAGCTTCATGCCATATCACTGCTATCTCCGTGACTTAAAAAAAAGTACACTCTTTGAGGACAGGGATGTGTATCTTACTCATTTTTGTATCCCCAGCTTGTAGTGCAGTGCCAGACACAGAGCTTAAGCTGAGCTCTTTGTCTGGCACTGTACTGCAAGCTGGGGATACAAAAATGAGTAAGATACACATTATTCTCCATAATGAGATGCTGGCTAGGAAGAGAAAAGGGAACTTGTGGTTGAATAATGGAAAGTCCAGTACTCAGCTCTTAAAGGATTTCAAAATCATGTCACATAAGGGCAGGAAGGAGTTGGCCAAGATAAATGGAAGGAGAAGGGAAGATGTTCGAAGCAGTAGGCAAAGGGCTATACATGGGACAGACGTGCAAGCAGCTTAACAAGACTGGAACAGCATTGGAGGATGGGAGAGCAGTTAAGCAACATGAGCCTTTCCAAGACTGGCCTTTTCTTTATTCAAGTCATTTCATCAGGGAAGCCATCCCTGACCAGCTAGCTTTTATGCTTCCCCCAAGTTACTCTCCATCCCATGACCCTGTTTCTTTTTGTGGTACATTTCAGGATCTGAAACACCTACCAACCCTTATTGACAATGCCACCACCACTGCCGCCATTACGACTATTATTAGAAGATGCCAAAAAACAGAGTTCTTTTTCATCTTATTTTACTGATAGATCACCAGTGCCCACAATAATGCCAGGCACACAACAGGCAAATATTTGTTTTATTCATTCATTCAACAAATATTTATTGAGCATATATGCTAGGCATTGCTCTATATGCTGGGGATATAACAAAACATGACAAAATTTGCTGTCATTGTTAAGTTTACTATGAGCAAATACGTTAAATATGCTTAGCCTAGAGGAAAAAATGTGGGAAGAGGAAGACAAACTAGCAGCTTTCAATGATGTAGGGCAAGAGTGATTCTAAGAGCCTGAAGGGGAAACAGTGAGCTGAGATTACTGAGTAGCTGCTTTCACCTCAACCTAAGAGTTAGAACTGGGAGAGGACCAAACAGGAGCAACCAGAAGTAGAAAGTTTTCTGTCACTGAAGAAATCCGGCCAGTGGGCAGAGGTGTCAGAGAGAAAAAAATCTTAAATAGTCAATGAAAACGGAAGCCTGGGACCCAGAGGTCCCAAACTGACAGCCACAGATATGACTGGTTACAGCCAAACAAGGTTGTGTAAAAATTGAGTTGCCAATGTTTTTAAAAAACGGAATTACTTGCCAATTAAAAAAAAATTGCAACAGTCGCCAGTGTTTAAAAATCAGAAAACTGCTCGCGCTTGCACACACCCACACAGTTTGGCTTTTACTGCTCCAACATCATGTACGTTAATACTGTACTTATAAAATTCGTTCCGGTAAAATTAAAAGTTTGACTAACACCTACATTTACTTTACCGGATTGATTCTTATTATGCATTAGTTTCTAACCCTGTAATCATGGAATCGAGAACTTTCTTTCTCAGAAAGTAAACTTATTTAATCTCCTCACTTAACAAATGACAGATTATCATTCCCATTTTACAGATGAGGGAAAAGCAGCTTAGAACGGGAAGGAACGTGCCAGAGACAGGGAAATCCAGACACAGCCAGGCTGGGAATCCAAATGTCCAATCTCCCGTGTTCCAACATTGAAGATTCTGAGCATTCCCTACCAAGAGGACAGGAGGGGCTAATAGGAAATTAGCAGGAGTTTCCTAGTCAGAAGACCCCGGACTGAACCAGTCTGAGGGGACGCGGCTACAGAGGAAGGGCGACAGCCGGAATCAGTGAGTCCCTGTAGAAAGAAGGATCGCCCAGAAGCGGGCAGAGGAGGATCCTGAGACCTCGCCTTCCCTGGCGGGCTCGCCCCTTGACTCCTGGCCTCCAAAACCGGCCCAGTAAGACCCCATTACACCCTCACCCGCCGTGGCTCACTTACCAACACTCAACTTCCGGCAACCACAGCGCTTTCTGCTGCGCGCGCCCTGATGACGCAACGCGGCCCTGCCCACGCCTGCCACCGGGCGTGCGCAAAGAATCCTAGGCAAGCCGGGGAAATGCGCCCCTAGCACCGGGCTAAGTGGGAGGAACTTGAGTCGTGGGAGGAACTAGAGTCGTGGGGAGGGCGGGGCATCAGGGGGCGGTGACGCCCCCAGGGGAGAGCCGAGAAGAGGCTAGGGAGACATCTTACCAGGTGTCGGAAGGTCTAAATTCCCTTCAGGCTTTTAAGAAAATGCCCCACGTTCTCTCTTTTGATTTCAGAGGATGACAGGAATAATCACCATGGCCATTCTCCAAGAGAGGCGGCATCAAACGCAGCACAGGGGCCATCAGGGTGGCAGGTGTGGAGAGTCAGATGAGAATTTTAGTAGTAAAAGGCCAGTGAACGTCCACAGTGACCAACCTGCCTTTTCTAAACCAGCCATCATTCTCATAGCTCCCACTGTCAGTGAGATAAAGTTATTCCCTGTCAATACTTGTTGGTTAGATACTCTGCCTAAGAGAAGCACTGGACAGGTTTTGAAGATACAGCAGTGATTATGACAGGTTTCTCTATCTGGCCTGCAAGGCCTTTCACAAATTAACTCTGATGTACCACTCTAGACTCATAATAACAAGAGTGGTGATTGCTATTAATTGACTATCCACCATGTTTTCAGGGTTTTACATCTCTAATTCTCACAAGAGTCCTGATAGGTATCCCCAAGTTACATATGAAAAAACAGAATCTAAGAAAAGGTAGGTGGCTTGCTGAAATTTAAAGGGCTTTTGGGCCAGGAACGTAATCAGAAGTCTGTTTGGTTCTGGAAAATAAGAAAACAAATCCAGACTTAATAAGGATGCTTATTAGAAACGATTACTGCAAGAAGTGGGAGAGGTAGCTGAGAAGGCATTATGCAATAGCAAAGGGAGACTATTGCAACAGGGCAATTGCTCTGACCAAAAAATCCACAGATGTTTCAAGGGTTAGGGAAAAAGAGGGTTTCCCGACCCTTCACCCTCTCCAAAGGAAGGTAGGTAAACAAAGCTAGAAACAACCAAACAGGGGAAGTGGGATGAAAGGGTGGCTTGATTAGATAGCAGATTAGAGAAATGTTTTATCTTGAGGCCAACCTGTTCTCAGGAGGAGTTGATGCTAGCTCAAGCTGAGAGTGGGTTAAAGTGAGGAACCTGGGGAAAGGAAAGAAACTTATCCCAAGTTTGGTTAACAAGCATCTTTTCCAACTGGTCAGTGGAGACAAGCAGCTCTGTAATCATTTATGAAGCCAAGAATGGGAATTCAAAAGGACTGTGTCTGACCTTGCCACAGTAAACAAGGGAGGCAACCATGAGTCATTTAAGTGAAATAAGAATGGGTGTTTCTTTGAACAGTTTCTGAAGGACAAAAAGATTAAGAAAGGGTTCTCTTTGTTTTTTTCTCTCTCTTATATTTTTCTTTTTTGAGACAGGATCTCCCTCTGTCACCAAGGCTGGAATACACTGGAGTGATCATAGCTCACTGCAGCCTCAACCTCCTGAGTTCAAGGGATCCTCCCATCTCAGCCTCCTAAGTAGCTGAGACTAAAGGTGCATGCCACCATAGCAGGCTATTTTTTTCATTTTTTTGTAGAGACTGGGTCTTGCTATGTTGCCAGGGCTTTTCTTGAACTCCTGGACTCAAGTGATCCTCCCACTTCCACCTCCCAAAATGCTGGGATTACAAGTTTGAGCTACCTTGTCCATCTTTTTTTTCTTTTTCCTTTTTTTTTTTTTTGAGACGGAGTTTCGCTTTTATTGCCCAGGCTGGAGTGCAATGGCGCGATCTTGGCTCACTGCAACCTCTGCCTCCCGGGTTCAAGGATTCTCCTGCCTCAGCCTCCTGAGTAACTGGGACTACAGGAATGCACCACCACGCCGGCTAACTTTTTGTATTTTTAGTAGAAATGGGGTTTCACCATGTTATCCAGGCTGTTCTGAAACTCCTGACCTCAGGTGGTTCACCTGCCTCGGCCTCCCAAAGTTCTGGGATTACAGGCATGAGCCACCATGCCCAGCCAAAAAGGATTTCTTAACCATTACTATCAGAGGCATTCAAACCAGAGCAACTCCATCTTGAATAGGGGCTGGGTAAAGTAAGGCTGAGACCTATTGGGCTGCTGCATTCCCAGAAGGTTGGGCCTTTTTTTTTTGAGATGGAGTTTTGCTCTTGTTGTCCAGGCTGGAGTTCAATGGCACAATCTCAGCACAATTACAGCAACCCCCGCCTTCCAGGTTCAAGCGATTCTCCTGCTTGAACTCCTGAGTAGCTGGGATTACAGGCATGTACCACCAAGCCCGGCTAATTTTTTGCATTTTTAGTAGAAATGCTGTTTTGCCATGTTGATCAGGCTGATCTCAAACTCCTGACCTCGTGATCCGCCTGCCTTAGCCTCCTAAAGTGCTGGGATTACAGGCGAGAGCCACCGTGCCCAGCCAAGGTTGGGCATTCTTAGTCACACAATAAAGCTGTAGGTCGGGGCATGACACAGGTCACAAAGACCTTGCTGATAATCCCAGCTACTCAGGAGGCTGAGGCAGGAGAATTGCCCGAACCCAGGAGGCGGAGGTTGTGGTGAGCCGAGATCGCGCCATTGCACTACAGCCTGGGTAACAAGAGCAAAACTCCGTCTCAAAAAAAAAAAAAAAGAAACAGGTTGTGCTGAAGAAGCCAGGCAAAACCCACCAAAACCAAGATGGCAACAAGAGTGACCTCTGGTGATCCTTGCTGCTCATTATATGCTAATTATAATTCATTAGCATGCTAAAGGACACTCCCACCATTGCCATGACGGTTTACAGATGCCAGGGCAATGTCAGGAAGTTGCCTTATATGGTCTACAAAGGGGAGGAACCCTCAGTCCCAGGAATTGCCCACCCCTTTCCTGGAAACTCATTAATAATCCACCCCTTGTTCAGCATATAATCAAGAAGTAACTATTAGCATAATCAATTGACCAGCCCGTGCCACCACTCTGCCTATGGAGTAGCAATTCTTTTCTTTCTGTCTTTTCTTTCTTTTTTTTTTTTGAGATGGAGTCTCATTGTTCCCCAGGTTGGAGTGCAGTGGCATTATCTTGGCTCACTGCAACCTTCTGTTGGAAATAGATCTTGGTGCCGCAAAGAAAAATATGCCTCCCAGTTCAAGCATTTCTCCTGCCTCAGCCTCCCTAGAAGCTGGGATTACAGGCATGCACCACCACGTCTGGCTAATTTTTGTATTTTTTAGTACAAACGGAGTTTGACCATGTTGGCCAGGTTGGTCTTGAACTCCTGACCTTGGGTGGTCCACCCGCCTTAGCCTCCCAAAGTGTTGGGATTACAGGCGTGAGCCACTGTGCCCAGCCTCCTTTGCTTTCTTTTTTTCTGAGACAGAGTCTTACTCTGTCGCCCAGGCTGGACAGTGGCATGATCTCATCTCACTGCAACCTCCACCTTCCAGGTTCAAGTGATTCTCTTGCTTCAGCCTCCTGAGTAGCTGGGATTACAGGCTTGTGCCACTACACCTGGCTAATTTTTGTATTTTTAGTAGAGACGGGGTTTCACCATGTTGGTCAGGCTGGTCTGGAACTCCTGACCTCATGATCCTCTTGCCTCAGCCTCCCGAAGTGCTGGGGTTACAGGTGTGAGCCACTGTGCTGGGCCTCCTGTGCTTTCTTAATAAACTTTCTCTTTACAGACTCTCCCGGAATTCTTTCTTGCCTGAGGTCCAAGAACTCTCTCGTGGGGTCTGGAACAGGACCCCTTTCTTTTCTTTGCTTTTTCTTTGTTTATTTTTATTATTGTTGTTATTATTATTATTTTAGACAGAATCTCACTCTGTCATTGCCCAGGCTGGAGTGCAGTAGCACAATCTTAGCTCACTGCAACCTCCATCTCAAGTGATTCTCAAGCCTCAGCCTCCCGAGTAGCTGGGATTACAAGTGTGTGCCACTACACCTGTAATACAGCTAATTTCTGTTTTTTTGGAGAGATGGGTTTTCACTGTGTTGGCCAGGTTGGTCTCAAACTCCTGACCTCAAGTGATGCCTCTCTTGGCTTCCCAAAGTGCTGGGATTACAGGCAGGAGCCACTGTGCCCAGCCAGTACCCCTTTCCAGTAACATTACTGTTTTCCAAGAGCAAAGGGCTCAAGTAAAATTCAACACTGCCAACTCTTTTGACTGTATCAGTTTCCTCTCCTGCTGCTGCCCTCTGAAACTGCACGCTGAAGTCACACTAAACTACTTCTAGTCAAGCACACTCTGCTCTTTTATATCTCCATCCCTGCAATGCTCTGACCCTTGCTGTGCTTGTGTAAGCCTTTCTCAGTCTTCACAACCCATTTGAAGTGTGGGTGAAACTTAGACAAAATGTTGATGGAAGAAAGGAATACATGTTAAAAGAATACATGTTAAACAATTCTACTGATAGAAAGTTTTAAATCAGCAAAACAAATCTCTATAGTTGTTACCAGAAAGGGATCCCGATACAGACCCCAAGAGAAGGTTCTTGGATCTCTCACAAGAAAGAATTCCAGGTAAGTCCATAGAGAAAAATGAAAGCAAGTTTATTAAGAAGGAAAAGGAATAAAAAAGAATAGCTACTCCATAGGCAGAGCGATGTTATGGACTGTTTGACTGGGTATATCTATACTCCCTCCCTCCCTTTCTTCCTTCCCCTCTCTCTCTCTTTCAACAGTCTCACTCTGTCACCCAGGCTCTGGAGTGCAGTGGTGCAATCTTGGCTCACGGCAACCTCTGCCTCCTCAGTTCAAGTAATTCTCATGCCTCAACCATTTGAGTACCTGAGATTACAGGAGCCCACCACCACACCTGGCTAATGTTTGTATTTTTAGTACAAATGGGGGTTTCTCCATGTTGCCCAGGCTGGTCTTGAACTCCTGACCTCAAGTGATTTGCCTCCCTCCGCCTCCCAACATGCTGGGGTTACAGGCACGGGCCACCGTGCATGGCCAGTTATTCCTTGATTATATG